TGATAAACAATCTACGTACTTTTTGATTTCATATCAAATTGTAATTAATCAAATTATATTATATTAGAGAAGTAATTAATCAAATTACATATAGCTCTAATTATTACAGGGTGATTATAATTAAAGTCCCTTTTTCAAATGTAAAACAAGAACCTCTCGTCACAATGAATTCAAATTTGAACTGAAGATACTTGAAGAATGTGGAAACGGTATGGCATCAAAAAAATGTTCCACCGATTTTTCCCATCCAATTTGGTATGACCTTGCCGTGGTGGATGGGCTTTCCACTAACGGTGTCGCAACTGTTGAATGACTTCGAAGTCATTTTTTGTCAAAAAAACAAAACAATCAAGCCCATTCAACACTACAGTTGGTTTGATGTGCAACTCAAGCCAAATACGTTGTAATTTCGATTCAAAATATCACTGGCAGCTGAATTCACTTTCTTTATGCTTCTTACAACGCCATCTATTAATACAATTTGGAATTTGTTTTGATGCCTTACCGTTTCCCCCTTCTTCAAGCGTCTTCAGTTCAAATTTGAACTCATTGTGACGAGTGGTTCTTTTTTTACAGCATTTTAAAAGTGGGACTTTAATTATACCACCCTGTATATTAGGAGGATAATGAATTTTACAATACATCTTTGACAATGCTTAGCTGAATTACTAATAATTGTTACTAATAATGCCTGATAATAAGAACTGGGATAATTGTTAGCAGAACTGAAGTATTGGAGAGGAAAATCATACTTATGCAGCACCTTAATTTAGCGAGAAAGATAATGAATGAATTTAATTCTAGTTATAAATATGTCTTAGTGAAAAAAAAAATAAATAAACAAATTTGAGATTGATAACCAGTAATAACAACATGAAATATCTAATTTCTGAATAAATTCATAAAAGTCTTTAGATATTTAATAATTAGTCACAGTTTTCATTATGCATTTGTAACTATAACATTAAGCCTATTGAATAAGGATACAAAAATTCGTAATTAATCCATAATTACAGAAACTTTAATTGTTCTGTAAAAGGCGGGAATAATTAGCAAACTGAATTTTCTTTTCATCATCTTCATGATAACATACCGGAGAATAGGGACAAAGATTTTTACAGCGCACATTTTATAAAATAATTGTAATAATTGTAAGACTTTGGACATTGAAGAGAGAACAATAACTATGCACAACTTAAATTAGTGAAAAAGAATATAAATGAATTTAATTCTAAACATAGAGATGTCAGAACGAACACATCAACTACAAAATTTGGGACTGACAGAGAATAATAACAACATGAAATAACCCCTTCCCAAAGAGATACGCAAAATTCCCCTTCCTTGATTTACATACTTAATCATTAGTCAACAGTTTGCATTTTTTGAACCTACGACCTTTAGCCGATTAGATCAGGATACAAAATTGGAGCAAATTACCGAAACATTGATTATTCTTTAGAAAGCGGGAATAGCTGTCAAACTGAATATTCTCTTCATCATCTTCATGATTACAGAGAAGAAGACAGAGAATTTTACTGTGCATCCTTTAATAAATAATTATAAGAAGAAAAGAACCAAAACAAGGAAAAGAAAGTGATACTTATGCAATACCTTAATTGATTTTAAAAGAGAATAAACGAATTTAATTCTAAATATAGACATGTCTTAATAAAAACAAATCAACTTACAAAATTTGAAATTGAACAAGAATCATAACATTCTTGTTTGTATAAAGAGATACACAGTTGTTAGTATAAAGATATACATAAAAAATATTTGTTTTTAATATTTAATAATGAATGAACATTTGGCATTTTTGAACCTATGAACCTTTAGTTAATTGAATTAGGATACAAAATTGGAGCTAATTAGTCTACAATAACCGAAACATTGATTGTTCCGTAGAAGGCGGGAATAACTGTCAAATTGAATTTCCTTTTCATCATTCTCATAATTACAGAGATTTTTGCATCCTTTAAAAATAATTATTAGCGGAAAGAACCAAAGTATCAAAGATATAGGGATACTTATGCAATAAGATGTATAGAGGAGGACTGAGATTTTCATAGTGCATCCTTTAAAAAAATAAATATTAGAAGAAAAAAACCAAAGCATTGAAGAGAAAGTGATTCTTATGCAGTAAGATGGACAAAAGAGGACAGAGATTTTTACAGTGCATCCTTGGCATTGAAGAGAGTGTGATACTTATGCAGTAAAAGGGACAAAAGAGGACAGACATTTTTACCGTGCATCCTTGGCATTGAAGAGAAAGTGATACTTATGTAGTAAGAGGGACAAAAGAGGATAGAGATTTTTACAGTGCATTCTTTAAAAATATGTATTAGAAGAAAACAACCAAGCCATTGAAGAGAGTGTGATACTTATGCAGTAAGAGGGAAAAAAAAGACAGACATTTTTACAGTGCATCCTTGGCATTGAAGAGAAAGTGATACTTATGTAGTAAGAGAGACAAAAGAGGACAAACATTTTTTCAGTGCATCCTTGGCATTGAAGAGAAAGTGATTCTTATGCAGTAAAAAGGACAAAAGAGGACAGACATTTTTACCGTGCATCCTTGGCATTGAAGCATGTAGTAAAAAGGACAAAAGAGGACAGACATTTTTACCGTGCATCCTTGGCATTGAAGAGAAAGTGATTCTTATGCAGTAAAAAGGACAAAAAGAGGACAGACATTTTTACCGTGCATCCTTTTGAAGAGAAAGTGATACTTATGCAGTAAAAGGACAAAAGAGGACAGACATTTTTACCGTGCATCCTTGGCATTGAAGAGAAAGTGATATTTATGCAATAAGAACTGAAGAGGAGAGACATTTTTACAGTGCATCCTTTAAAAAATAAGTATTAGAAGAAAAGGATTAAGGCATTGAAGAGATAGTGGTACTTTTGCAATAACCAATTTATTGAAAAAGAGAATAAATTCTAAATAGAATAAATAATAATAATATAAACAATAATATAATAAATAATAATTAATAATAATAATAATAATGATAATAATAAATAATAATAATAAATAATAATAATAATAAGATAAATAATATAATAAATAATAAGTTCTAAATATAGGCATATCTCAATAAAAACAAATCAATTACAAAATTCGAAATTGAACTAGAATAATAACAGCACGAAATAACCAGTTGTTCATATAAAGAAATATACAAAAAAAAAAAAAAAAAAAAATCTTTGTTATTAATATTTAATAATGAATAAACAGTTTCCATTTATGAGATTTAGCCAATTCAATTAAGGATATAAAACTGGAAGAAGTAATTAAATCCATAAGTACCGGAACTTTGGTTCCTCCATAGAAAGCGGGAAGGATTGGCAAACTGAATTTCCTTTTCATCAACCTCATGATTATTACGATCTATCGAGTGAAGAGGAGAGAGAACACCCTTTTCGGAGAGCACCCTTTTCAGAAAAGACCTGGAGCACTGAGGGGGGAACACGATAATGATAAAACGAAAGAAGAAGAACAGCAACAAGAAAGTAAAAAAGGGCCTGTTCTGCATTTGTGTTCAATTGACGTCACAACCGGGACGTGATTCGGAGTTAGATGAAAGCTAACCCCGCAGGGAAAAGGAGATTCAAAAGCGGAGTATCAGATAGCCTTAATGGAAAGGCGAGATTAATCATATGGAGAATATTTACATACATAAGTGGTTTTCGGGACGATGCGTTTGAATTATCAAAATCGAATTTGTTTTGGAAGCCGTCGTGCGTCAGTGTTATAATTTAAGTGCCTCCGGTTTAATGGGATAATGACGGTTTGTTCTGGAGAAAAGTCATCTGAAGTTACTAAAAATAAAAATAAATTTGCATTAAATTTTTAGAAATTATCCTCGCTAAGCTATAGTTGATGGTGTATTGCTGTTTTCTCCATAAATGTGATTGTGTTGTTAGCATTTAAAGTGCTGTTAAGCTTTCTTTGTTTGTATTGTTGATTTCCGTAAGTGCTTTGTACTGTTTGACTCAAAAATGATTTGTTGACGGGAACTTGATAAAAGCTTTAATAATTCGTTGAAAAAAAAGATAACATATCTATGTGAATTAATGGCGATATTAATAGCAAATTATTATATTTAAATATCAATAAAATATAAGGATGACAACAGCAAATATAAAAACATGTCGCAACAATTATATATCAAAGGTGAGCGAAACAGACTCGTCTTCATAAAACACCGTAAACAATTTTTATATATAGAAAGAGAGAAAATAAAGAATTTCTTTTTTTTTTTTTTTTTTTTTTCAAGTTGACTACATTATACTTTAAATGTATTGTTCTTCCAAGTAATGCTTTTAAAATAAAAATAATTTTTGAAGAATTTTTTGTTTCCATTTTGTAGGGTCCTTCACATATAAACAAATAATATAAAATCAATACTTAGCAATTTTTTAAATCTAGTATTGTAACCATGCTACTCCCTGGCAGGAGCACCATCTGTGGTGTTCAGTAGAAATGGTCAGTAGGCCCCGAGACTCTCAACCGAGAGGAAGTACAGTGAACCCTACACTCCCGCTAAGAAACGTTTAATTTATAGTCTCTCATTATGAGAGGAAGTATATTTAGCGCAACCCTGCCTATTAATTGGCCTACACGCTTTCAATCGGGGAGGAAGTATATTTCGCGCTCCTTGTGCGTATCTGAATTTTAGGCTAAATATTGTTGTCTCTTACTGTAAGTGTTTGTTGTTGTTTCTTATCCCACTTGGCTGGCCAAGCCCACGAGCCCATACGTGCTCATGATTGAAGGGGAAGGAAGCAGCTTCTGTTGTGATGGAGCACCCGTAGGTAGAAGCCTGACTTTGGCTCCGTGACGCTCTTACAGTCATAGGAGACCGGGACCTACGGCTTGAAGTAGATTCCGAACCACTACAAACATCCATGGCACCGCCGGGATTTGAACCCGAAACCTGTGGCACCGAGTGTCAGAGCGCTAGACACTCGGCCATTCAGGTCCCAAATTTGCCAACGGTACGCGGTGTTCCCAGGTGGTCACCCACCCAAGTACTGACCGCGCACAATGATGCTTGACTTCGGTGACTGTAAGTGTGGTGTTTATGAGTGCGTAACTAAAGATGTGGGTTCAATTCGTGCCTCAAGTATCTCAACAAAACTACTAATTATTGTTGGAATTATCAAAATCGAATTTGTGTTGGAAGCCTTGTGCGTCAGTGTTATAATTTAGGTGCCTCCGGTTTAATGGGATAATGACGGTTTGTTCTGGAGAAAAGTCATCTGAAGTTACTAAAAATAAAATAAATTTACATTAAATTTTTAGAAATTATCCTCGCTAAGCTATAGTTGATGGTGTATTGCTGTTTTCTCCATAAATGCGATTGTGTTGTTAGCATTTAAAGCGTTGTTAAGCTTTTCTTTGTTTGTATTGTTGATTTCCGTAAGTGCTTTGTAGTGTTTGACTCAAAAATGATTTGTTGATGGGTATTTGATAAAAGATTCAGCAATTCGTCGAAAAGGGATAACATATCTATGTGAATTAATGGTTATATTAATAGCAAATCTATTACATCGAAATGTCAATACAATATAAGGATGATGTCAATAAAATATAAGGATGATGTCAATAAAATATAAGGATGATGTCAATAAAATATAAGTATGATGTCAATAAAATATATCAATAAATTTAGCAACATGTCGCAATACAAGTATTTATGAAAAATAGCGATTTACAATAATGTCTTTATGTCATAAAACACCGAATTTTTTTTTATAAAGAAAGGAAAAAAAAGCATTAAAAAAAACAATACACTTTAATTGTATTGTTTTTCCAGATAATAAGCCTTTAAAATAAAAAGAGTTTTTGTAAAGAATTTTTTGTTTTCATTTTGTAAGGTCGTTCACATATTAAAATATAATAAAAATTCATTGCTTAGCAATTTTTTATCTAATAATGTAATCATTAAAAATGCTTACATTATTAGATAAAAATATACGCACTCGCAGGAGCGTCCCCTGTGGCGTTCTGGAGAAATGATTAGTCGGCCTCGATACACTCATCCGAGAGGAAATACAGCGCAACCTGCTCTCCCGCTCAGAAACGTTTAATTTATGGTGTTTCATCCCGAAAGGAAAAATATTTAACACAACCCTGTGTATTAGTTGACCTACAGACTATTACCCGGAGAAGTAGTATATTTCGCGCACTGTGCTTACTTGAGTATCGGGATTTCGGCTAAAAAGTGGAGTCCTTCCACAAATCTATAATTATACGTCGTTAAATGTGTTATATATTGTATGCCCCTAATTCTATGTGTGTGGTGTTTGTGAATGTATAAATAAAGATAAGATTTCTCCAACCTGTGTTCAAGTATCTCGACCCAATCACACTAGCTACAATCTAATAATTAGTTACAATCTGGTTGTCCAACCTGCACACTACAGTATTTTATATAACTAAAAAAAGAGTTCTTAAAAACTCTTTGATGGATAGTATAATATTTTAACTTATTTTATATTACCCTTGAAATTAATGTTTTATTGTTAAACTCCTTTTTATTTATTTTATTAATTTTTGTCCTAAAATAACTTTAAATTATTAAGAAACATTTTGAAAAAAAGAATGCTAAGTTTAAAAGTGCTTTAATTTATAACCTTACAATATATAACATAAACATAAATATTTAAAGCAAAACTTGTTATGAGGATTTATACGGATTAAAATAAAAAATATTATAGATTGATTTAAATATGCAAAGTGTTTTCAATAATTTTTTATTATAAAAAGTTTAATTAAAGAAAAAACAAATGCTTCAATATACTTATTTAATCAGGTAAGACAAAAGAAATTATAATATTCATTTACTGTTGTTATTTAATAACCAATTCATTAAATTTTATGCAACTAATGGCTCAAGTTTTTAATTTTCGTATAGATATTTATTTTTAATATCAAGTTTACTTAATTTTAACAATGCATTAAAACCATTACTATGCTAATGCATGCAATAAAACTGCGCGATACACAAATTAATCTGCTTTTCTAAAACATGAAAATCAATTTTCCTTAATTTTGGGGCACTAAACACAAAAATGATAATAAAAATTGGCTAATTTGGAGATACGGAGGTAGTCGGTTCCTTCAATTTTCTTGATACAGATATGAAAAATGTAATGTGGAAATAAGTAAATTTATATAACATATCTTACAAATTATATAGCAACGTTTATAAAAAGAAGTCTATTAAAATAAATGTCTGGTATATTAAATATATATGAAATGTGTAAAGATTAATATATACATGGAACATCTGAAATGTAAGGTTTAGAAATTTGTTTTATAATACATTAATTTTTTAAAACTTTATGACTTCTATTCAATAATTTTTTTTATCTCTAATTAGTTTGCAAGAAATTACACCAAAATTTCTGAAGTTTCTTAAAAAATAACTAATGATGGGAGGAAATATAACATCATAATTTAGAAAAAATAAATTTTCTCACCTTCTAAGGATGTTGCATGCAAAGTATTTTCGGAAAATTATTAAAGGAAACTTATTATTCATAAAATATATGAGTATTGTTATGAAGAGAGTGGGTCAGTGATGTCCTGGATCATTTTCAACGTTTTTTATTGGTTTATTATTTTTTTTTAAATTTCTTTCACGAGCTATTCTTATAGGTTTATTTAATTTTCTTTCACGTGAATTTATAAAATCGTTTGGAATTATATAGATTTTTATTTTTCATTAAATCTCTTTTTTTTTTCCAGTTTTGAACAATAACTGATGAACATGATACATTGCCTGAACACGACATTTTGATACATCGTCTTTCTTTGTTTGTTTACGACTGCTGTGATGCTTTTGTTCTTACATTAAATTCTACATTTTATGGGTAACCCTTATACTATAAGCCCAATCTTTAAAATTTTTTTATTATAAAAACTATGTTCTGGCGCTGGGTACCACAGGTCACGGGTAGGAGTAGCGGGGGTTGAGGGGTTCGGAATCCACTTTAAACCATAGGTTCCTGTCTCATATGGCTGACAACAATACCTCGTAAAAAGAAAACATCTCTCCTCTCGCAATATGCCAGTAGGCAGACGGCCTTGACCCAAATTGGGGCTGTTGCGCCACAAATGATGATGATGAATTTGAATTAATTAATTTCAAAATTACTAATGCATGTGTTGATGCTTTAAAATATGATAAAATTTTGAACTGCCTCTTGTTGTTGTTTTGAAAAATATTTTCTTTTGTTTCAAAAACTAAATCCTTTTTTTTTTTAAACAAATCCATTTAATAAAACTTTTTGCAACTAAGCTTTTTGTTATTACACATAATGGTGTGGCAAATCAAATCCACACTTTTGCATTTCAAATTCACCCTCTCAAAATTAGGATATTATTTGCATAATTAATACATGTGTAGGTTTATAAAGACGCATATGCATATGTGTGTCTAAATACATATTTCTCTATGTATATTGATGTACTGATATTGATGTACTGATATGGATAAAAATGTATGCTGAAATATGCATAAGTTAATCTGTATTTTATTTATTTTTATTAAGAAGGATTATGCGTGCACTTTAGATACAAGTGCATATTTATTTACGTATGTATGCAAATGCACTTTATGCGTGTGGTTATATGCGAATGAGTATTTATACGTGCATGCTCGTGTATATGCATGGCAGTGATGCACTTAGAACACATGCACACGCTTATACCTACATATAAAATATAATATATGTACATTAATGATATATTAAATTATGTACATTAATAATACATTAAATATGCATAAATATATGCAATTTTGCTCGTGCATATGCAGTTATACAACATTAAATGCTATTTTTAAAAGTTTTCTTAATCAGCAGGAAAATAAAAGAAAAAAAATACATGCATTAAGATGCATCGTACTGCCATCTATTGAATATTATTTGTAATAAAATTAGATAATGTTTATTTCAAATTTTAAGAAAATCTATTATTTTAGAATTCTTTATTAAGAAATTAAAAATTATTATCATTGTAAATTGTAATTTTTGTAAAATAATTAATGTTTTATGATTAAATTTGAAAATATAATTTCTTAAAAATATAAAAATAATTAATATATAAATATAATTATTATACAAATAAAAAATTATTCTATTTCTTTGTAATAAAGATAATTTAATTTAATTGTAACACATTAAAAACGAATTTAAATTTCGAAATAAAAAGATTCAAAATAATAAGTGTCTTCAGAAAAAAAATTCAAAAATAAATAACGATCGTGGCGCTATCTATGGACCATATTGTGTACAATTCTAACTGAAAACCCCCCAAATTTTTTTTCACAGGCCTTCGTGAATAAAAATTCACTAAAATTTTAATATCAGTATTAATTTTCTCTATAAATTAAATAACCTTTTTCTTGTGTAGTGGTATATTGGATTTTATTGTATATAGATTTTGTATACCGTTTATTATGTATTATAAGTAGTTTTTATAATTGCAAAATTTAGAGTGTTTTGTCAATTTTTATATCTTATATTATAGTTGACATTTTTATTCGCAATTTTCGATAAAATAGAAATAAAATAGATTTATAAATAGATTTATTATTAATATTTATTTATCTCCTAAATAGATTTATTGTACTAAATTTATTTGTAATTAGAAAACTTGTTCATATATTATGAATTCCTTGGGTTTTTGATTTTTACCCATAAAATATATTGATATTGTTTTGGGGAGAGTGGGTCAGTGATGTCCTGACCATTTTCAACGTTTCTTATTGGTTTATTTTTTTTAAATTTCTTTCACGATCTATTCTTAGTTACTAATTTAAATTTCTTTCACTTGCTTTTTTATTAAATTTATTTTACGTGCCTTTTTATAAAATCGTTTAAAATTCTATAGTTTTTATTATTTTTTTAAAATTTCTTTCACATGCTTTTTTATTTAGTTCCTCTTACGTGCCTTTTTATAAAATTGGAATTATACAGTTTTTTTTCTCTGTTTAATATATTTTCTTCTTTCAGTTTTGGTAAATTCTGAATTTTATGGGCACCATTTATGTCGA